TAGGCCTCAAAGTAGGCAGTGGTCTCAACCATCAGGAACAACTGATCTTTCTGTAAGATAAATCAAGTTTAGTTCTTTGTTTATCTGTTTCATATAAAACCATGAATCCTCCCCCCACCCTGCAGCTATCCATTAGAGCTGCAATAGTTATACTGAAAGCTGGTTTTAATATTTTGTCATATGCATTATTTTCTTATCAACAACTGCACATCATTTACTTCCCCACCTGAATTCCAGCCAACTTCATTCTGCTTTCTTCAGTAAAGGTAATCTGGACCTGTCCCTTCTGCAGGTCTCTGGGATCCCGATCTGACACTGTGGCAAAAAAGAAGGTCTCAAAATTGTCAGAAGACAGGCAGACCAGGGAACCATAGATCAGCCTCTTGGAGTTCTGCCAGCGCACAAACTGTAGGAAAGATGGAGGAAGTATTATTAGTGTACATGGTAATATTTGTCTTTCCAACACTAAATGTAACAAACATCTAAATCAATTCAAAGGCTAACCATAAGTGGCTGAGTGTCGAACTGGACTATGTAGGCAAGGCCAGTGTGTGTGCATTTGGGCACCACCAGTCTCGTGTCACAATATACTCGGATATCATCAAAGCGTTTCGTCTTCAGTGGATTATCATTTCTTCCCATGGCCATTTGGTTCCAAAGCAATTGCTGGATCCCCTCACGGAGTGGCCGCACAAAGTCCTCTCTCAGCAGCCGGAAGTGCGTGTCAAGGTAGATGTGGGTGTTTGTGTAGCGCTGAGAGGTGAGGTTAGGTCTAAGGAAGGGCCTGGTGGCCTGGTGGAGCTCCTCGTGAGTTGGGTATATGGGTATGGTCCTGTAATCTTGCTGGTCTTCTTCACCTGGATTAGAAATAGTAGGACTTTTCAGTTACTCTCATTTCTATAAAACTATGTTGCAATTTTAAAAACAACCTACAATATTTTCTGGTTACTTTTCAGTGTTGGTTTTTAGGGCAGGGTATCAAAATGTTTAATAAAAAACAGCATGTCAGTAAAAATATCTAAGATTACCATTACCTGGATTATCACCTCCTGGGGTTAGGAGGGCATAAGTGTCCTTGTCTGAGCGCAGGGTACCCTCCCTAGATTTCTCCTGAAGGTGCCTGATCAGGACATGAAGACCCTCCATGCTCTCCTCAACTTGAGGTTGGATTTCCACTCCTGATGTTTTCAGGCTGTTGATGGAGGCTTGGAGCTGCGTCAGTAGCAACCTCACTACCTGGACAGAACTAGCAGGGAATATGCTGAGGACCTAATAAGCAGATATTGATGATTGACAATAGTTAGTGAACATATGACTAATTTAAGAATTGTTAACAGAAATAAGCACAAATCAGGCTAAAATAATAATTCTGTTTTAGAAACACTTAAACAAGGTTCATTAAAAGGGCCAAAAACCTGCTTTAAGATGCAATGAGTTGAGTTCTACAGGAACATTTTTTAGTAAAAGTTTGTACATTGTTGGTTATTTTAAATGAGGGATTTCTGTATTAGTGTTTTTCTTACTTAGATTCTGACTGTTGCTTTTATAGTCATGAATATTTAATGAAATGCATATGATTTAATCTACTACAACTGCAGAACATATTTCACTGCAAAGAAGCATCACCTACTGGCTGAAATACTCCATATATGAGGACTTCTGTTTGTGTCCTTCATCAACTCTTCAGGGTCTACTCAGTTATTTCAGTGTACACTCACTGAGTTACACTCACTGTGTATTTTTCCATGTATTCCTTCACTTATCCTTCAAATATCCTTCAATTGTATTCACAGACTAATTGGATCCTTTATTCATTCTTTCCTATATTTACCTCTGACAGAATAGCCAGGATGTTTTCCAGATGTTGTGGGTATTGTGCTCTGCGCTCAGCATTGAACTCTGACTCCATGCCCACAAGATAGAAGGGCAGGACTGTACGGAAGAACCCTGAATCTTTTATGATGCTGGCCAGGTGCTGCAGGGTGCCTCTGTCTGTGCGTGCTTTGAAGGCTTTACTCAGCACGAGGCAGAGGAGTTCGACAAGGTCCTTCCTCATTGCTGTGTCATTCAGGACATCTCGTAGGGCGGGTTTAGCAGACAGGGTGATGGCCACTACAGATGGGTCTTTTTTAGAGAGTTCTTCCAGTGTTTTATAGCCCAGTCCGTTGCCCTGTGGCGCCCCAATTCTGCCTGTGGAATTAGATCTTCCTCCATTGCTCTCTTGTCTGTCTCCCACACCATCTCTTCTTTCACCCCCTCTACCTCCTCTTCTATCTACACTATGTCCTCCTCTCCTTACACCCCATTCTGCCATCCCCCTTCTCGCCCCGTCTCGTTCATCTGCAGCATGCTCTCCAATTCTTCCCACATCACCTCTCTCTGCCCTTTCTCCTCCATTTCCGCCTCTCCCCCTCCATCCTCCTCTTCCTCCTCCTCC